TTTTTTCACCCTTTCTCCAAGTTATGGCCTTGTATATAGTATTTAGTAATTCCCAATAAATATTTTATTGATGAAGTCAGGAAGGGGTTGAAAATATCTGAGGTAGGGAGCTGTGGGACAGCAAGTAGTTTATATTATTTATTTCTATCCTGCCTTATTTCAGAAGTATTTAAGACTAGAGGCCCGGTGCATGAAATTTGTGCACGGGGATGTGTGTCCCTCAGCCCAGCCTGCACCCTCTCCAAACTGGGACCTCTTGAGGTATGTCCGATTGTTTGTTTAGGCCTGATCCTTCTCATAATCCAGGACTGCTGGCTCCCAACTTCCCTCCCCTGCTGGCCTGATCACCCACAACTGCCCTCCCTTGCAGGCCTGGTTCCTCCCAACTGCTCTCCCCTGCTGGCTATGGCCATCTTGTGTCCACATGGGGCCAGCCATCTTTGACCACATGGGGGCAGCCATTTTGTGTGTTGGAGAGATGGTCAGTTTGCATATTACTCTTTTATTAGATTAGTTAGAATGAGGCACAGTGGTTTGGAATTGATTTGATGGGTAGTGATTGTGTAGATCATTAAGCAAATTGATAAAAATTAAATTTATACATTATTAGCCTAAGTATAGTATTTTATTTTGTTTTAAACAGTTCTATTGAATATTAACATACGATAACATTTACCTTTTAAAATTATAATTGAGTGATTTTTTTTTTGTTGTTTGTTCATTCACAAGGTTGTTCAAAATCCCCACAATCAATTTTAGAACATTTTATCACCCCCAAAAGAAACCTCATATGCATTAACTGTCAACTCTTCATGCTTCCTGCCCTCAACCCTTGGTAACCACACATTTACTGCCTGTCTTTAGATGGATTTGCCTATTCTGGCCATTTCTTATCAATGGTTTGTGGTCATTTCTGACTGGCTTCTTTAATGAGGCAAGTATTGACTGCTGTATTCCTTTAGTGGTGGATAGTTGGGCTTGTACACTACCAAAGAGTTTGGGAAAACATTGCCAAGAATCTTTTCTCTCTCTTTATTGTTTAAAGTATTATATATAGTAGTACATATATCTCTCCCCCCCCCCCCCCCCCATTTGAAGGAGTAATTATAGGAATGGAGAGAGGAATAAAAGAAATAAAGGAAAATGATACTGAGAAAGAAATGTTTAATGACTACTTAGTACCATTCAATTGGTCTTTAATCCTCATGACAGCCTTGTAAATTCAGTTTTTATTCCTTGTGCATTAGAAATAAAATGTATGATCACAATGTAGTAAATTCTGGAATAGATATTTTACACATGACTTTTCTTAAAATTGATTTTATTAGGGTGACACTGGCTAATAAACTTATATAGGTTTCAGGTGTACAATTCTATAATATATTATCTATATGTTTTATTATGTGTCCATCACGCCTTCCAAATTGCTACAAGAAATGTCTGATTGCACTGCCTATGTTTTCTTCTAGGATTTTAATGGTTTTGAGTCTAGCATTTAATTCTTTAATCCATTTTGAGTTTATTCTTATGTTCCATGTAAAAAGGCCTTATGTCATTTTTTTTTTTTTTTTTTTTTGCAATACTGGTCCAATTTTCCCAGTATCATCTTTCAAGTAGAATATCTTTGCCCTATTGAATATGTTCTTGCCACCTTTGTCAAATACGTATTAATTGACCATAAAGACATGGGTTTATTTCTGGGCTCTCTATTGATGTCTATGTCTATTTTTATGCCAGTACATGCTATTTTGATTACTATGGCCTTGAAGTATAGTTTGATATTAGGTAGCATGATTTCTCCTACTTTGTTTTTATTTTTCAAGATTGCTGTTGCTATTCAGGGTTTTTTGTGGTTTCATATAAATTTTTGGAATATTTGTTCTAGTCCTGTGGAATATGCCATTGCTATCTATAGATAGCTTTGGATCGTATGGACATTTTAATGGTCTTCATTCTTTCCATGAACTTAGTATATGCTTTATTTCTTTGTATCTTCCTCAGTTTTTTCTTTAGTATCTTATAATTTTCTGAGTATAGGTCTATTACTTCCTTGGTTAAAGTTGTTCCTAGGAATTTTTTTTTATGCAGTTGTAACTGGGATTGTTTTCTTAGTTTGCCTTTCTGATAGTTCATTATTGGTGTATTAAAATTCAGCTGATTTCCTGGTATTTACTTTGTGTTCTTCTACTTTACTGAATTTATCAGTTTTAGTAGTTTTTTGGTGGAATCTGTAGGGTTCTTATGTACAATATCATATCATCTGCAAATATTGACAATTTTACTTCTTTTCCAATTTGAATGACTTTTATTTCTTTTTCTTTTCTTTTTTTTTAATTTTTATTTTTTTGTCTGATTGCTGTGGTTAGGACATCCACTGCTATCCTGTCTAATAAAAGAGTAAACATAAGTATTGCTACTCCAGATTTTTTTCCGTTTCCATTTGTATGAAATATCCTTTTTTATCCCTTAAAAAGGAGTTTCTTTTAGTCAGGAACTTTTCTGCCATCTACTTGTACAGTTTCTTCTGGTTGGCTATCAAAAATTTTGTATACTTAATATTTTTTCTAATAATTTTAATTATATAAAAATTTAAGCAAACTTTTTAGAGCTAGCTATACCAAGCTCCCTCCAGCTCATTAGATTGTGCTCTTTAAAAAAGGGAAAAAAGAGAAAATTCATGGACATGCACAATAGTGTAGTGATATGGGAGATGTATGTGTGCAAAAGGGCATAGGTGGGATAAATGGTAATGGGAAAAATAAAAATAAGGAGAATGTATTCAAATATTACTATATTTTATATGCATTGATATATAAAGGGTTAGAAATGTACTGCTTATTCCAGCTCATACTTTTAGACTCAGCTTTTATACTCAGTTCTTCAAATCTCCCTAGAATACTTTTCTCTCATCTCTTCTACTTTCCCTACTTAAATGCTTCTATTCTTTTCTTATATGTGAGCATTAAAGTGTTTTAATATGATCACTAGAGGCCCGGTGCACGAATTTTGTGCACAAGGGTAGGGGAGTAGGGTTTGTGTCCTTCAGCCCAGCCTGCACTCTCTCCATTCTGGAACCCCTCGAGGGATGTCGGCTGCCCACTGGGATTGGGTTTAAATGGGCTGTCAGACATCCCTCTCATAATCCAGGACTGCTGGCTCCTAACCCCTTGCCTGCATGCATGCATGCCTGCCTGCCTGCCTGCCTGCCCTTAACCACTTCTGCCTGCCAGCCTGATCACTCCCTAACCACTTCACTGCCGACCTGATTGACGCCTAAATGCTCTCCTGCCAGCCCAGTTGCCCCTAACTGCCCTCCCCTGTGGCCTGGTCACCCCAACTGTCCTCCCCTGTAGACCTGGTTGACCTCAACTGTCCTCCCCTGCTGGCTCGGTCACCCCTAACATCCCTTCCTTACCAGCCTGGTTGCCCCTAATTGCCATCCCCTGCAGGCCTGGTTGCCCCCAACTGATAATTTTTAATTGAATTTATTGGGGTGACATTGGTTAATTAAATTATATAGTCTTCAGGGGTACAGTTCTATAATATATCATGTGTGTATTGTATTGTGTGTTCACCCCAAGTCAAGTTTCATTTCATCACCATTAATCCCCCCTTTACCCTCTTCTACCTCCCTCTACCTTTCTTTCCATATTACTGTTGTCTATTAGGTGTTCTGTGTTGTTTTTTTCCCCCCTAATTCCTTCATCTTTTTTACTTTCTTTATTTTTAGATTGTATTCTACATACCACATTTTTCTTTTAGCCAGGAACAAAATTAATTCTTAGAGGCTAAGTAACTTTTAAGGTTAAGTGAACCAAAACATTTCCCTTCACATATTTTAAAAAATTGGTGAAAATACTGGCATCTCTGATAGTCATTAAATACTGTAATTTAGTGATGTATAACCATTGTATTTAGACTTCACATAATTTTGTTTTTAGTATCCAGTTATCTCCTAAGTAGTTACCTCCAATGTGCTGCTTGTTTCTTATTATTTGTTATTGTAAAAATATAGGCAGAATTGGAATTGGTTTGACTCAGTGGGTAGAGCGTCTTCTGCAGACTGAAAGGACCCAGGTTCGATTCCAGTCAAGGGCATGTACCTTGGTTGTGGGCACATCTCCAGTAGGGGGTGTGCAAGAGGCAGCTGATCTATGTTTCGCTCTCATCGATGTTTCTAGCTTTCTATCTCTCTCCCTTCCTCTCTGTAAAAAAATCAATAAAATATATTTAAAAAATATATAGGCAGAATTCACTGTGGTAAGGCATTTAAAAAATTATACTTGTAAATTGTAATGTATTCAAATGGTTTGAAATTATAGGCTATTAAAATCTCTTTCTCACCCTGACCATCACCCATCCCAGTTTCCTTCCCTGAGGATAACTACAGTTGCTGATTTCTTTGTATTCTTTTAGAGATATTTTGTGGCTATACAATAAACTATATGTTTTTAATCTTGTCCTTTTACTTTCATACAGATGTAGAATACTTGAAAGAAATATTGTTCTGTACCTTGCTTTGTTCATTTAGCAATACAATTTGGAGGTTGTTTCTATCAGTACCTAAGAGTTCTTCAATCTCTTTTTTAATATCTATGTAATATTCCATTGTATAAATTTGCATAGTTAATTAGTTTCTCATTTGATGGTTATTTAAATTATTTCCAGTCTTTTGCTGTTATAAGTAAGATTGTAGCAAAAAAGATGCAGTATATACATACACCTAACATGTATATGTATAATAACATGAACTTGTTATATGTTACTTCAAGTATGTATTAATATATCTACAGAATCAGTTTCTAGAAGTGGAAGTGCTTTTTAAAAGCTATGGTTATTTATAATTTTGAAAGTAGAGATGTTTAAATGAATTGAAGCTATGGAATTTTATGTATTATTTATCCACCATGGAACTTCACTTTATAATAAATGGAAATCTAAGAAACTAATAATTGCTAAAATTTAAGTGAAATCCTTATAAAATTCTTTTTATTTTGCAGGTATACAAAAATAGGATATGCTGGAAATACAGAACCACAGTTTATCATCCCTTCCTGTAAGTGTTTCTTTTAAGCCACAAATGAACAGATTTAAAGATCATTTTCTTAATTAAAGTAAAAGAGATAATCATTTCTGATACACAGTACTTTAATCCTTTAAAGATACTATGGTTTGCAAACTTTAAGTGTGGCCCCATTTCTGCATCTTTTTTAATCATTTATTTCAGCTCTCTATTTAGCTCCATTTACCAAATCTTCCTAGTTTCTCTTTAAAGATAAGATGAAGGAATTAAACAAACTTCTGCTTTAAGGATATTGCTATTAACAGTGTGTGCTTGTAAACTAACTGTTAAGAAGGCATCCCCATCACACACTTACAAAGACTGTCCTTTGGCTTTTGGATATGATTTCTTTTTGCAGGGCCTTGTGTTTGTTGACATCCTGACCAAAGCTCGTGCTTTAAGATAAGGATGGAATTTCATCTTTAGAGATGCTGACTTCAGCTGTTTTCTAATATTTTATAACCACCCAGTGTTATTATTCTGTCCTATTTTGACTACTTTAATTGAACATCAACTTTCAGTAGTTTGTCTTTTAGTAGTTTTTAAAAAAATACTCTCATACTTGGCTTTGTTAGAGCTTTTATTTGTTAGCATGGATTATGTATCTGGTCCTTGGCATACTTTAGTACTTTTGGTTTTCAAATGATTCATCTTTTTCATGCTAAATAGTAACATGTGATTTACTTGTCCTAAAGTTGAATTGAAACTTTAACTTATTAGATGGCAGACCTTTTGAGCCTTTGCTTGGAGGTTAGCACCTGGACAGTTTAATTTTGGGAGTGTCAGTAGTTTTGCACAGTAGTATTTATGTGACTGAATATTTTTTTGTATTCTTATGAAAATAAAGAAATGGAAAAATAAACATGTAGAGAGGAATGAAAACAGCTGATGTTTTAGAATTAGTGAAGTTGAGAACTAGGTAGAAATTACTGCACATCTTTAGTCTCAGTTGGGTATTAATTGGATATGAATAGATTATTAGTATACTTTCCTATGAGTTGATCTTATAAGAAATTAGCCTACTACCTAAATCTAATTCTTTAATACCTAGAAAGGATTTTAGGTGATACTGATGATATAGCTTATTTATGTGAGAATAGTGGCCTTAGTTTGGTGGTACCATTATGTTGTTCTTGTGTACACTGAAGGACAGGTTTGCTTTTCTTTACTTTTTCTCACATTTATATATCAATTTATTGATTATTGTTGTTGACAAATATTGGCTCTATTGCTGATTTGTATAGAAGTACATTTGTAGACTAGTACTTGACGTTAGTTATACAGGGGTTGGCAAAAGTAGGTTTATAGTTGTATGTGAACACAGCTTATTCTATTACTTTTTGTATTACAACTGTAAACCAAGTTTTGCCCATCCTGTATTTGAGTTTAGTGCTGGCAGACCATTGTATATGCTTGTATTAGTTTCCTAAGGCTGCTGTAACAAAGTACCAAAAATTGGGTGGCTTAAAACAGTAAGAGACTTAAGTTCTGGAGGCTAGAAGTCCAAAACCAAGTTACCAAGAGAGCTATGATCTTCTGGCAGCTCTAGGGGACAAACCTTGCCTCTTCTAGCTGCTGGTGTTTGCTGATAATCCTGGACATTTTTCGGCTTGTATATACAGTCACTTGGCTGTCTTCTCCCTGTGTGTTTCCATATTGCCTTTGTTCTGTGTGCCTTTCTGTGTCCAGATTTCCTCTTTTTATAAGGATACTGGTCATTGGAATAGCCGCCCTCCCCCCCCCCCCCATCACCTTATTTTAACTGGCAAGACTACTTCCAGATAGGTCACATTCTGTGGTTAGGGTTTCAACATATCTTTATTTTGTAGGGCCCAATTCAACCTATTTCTGGTTTTGCAGTCTCTTAATATGTAATCTTTTATAAGGCATTGTGTTGTGATTAAATCATTATTTTAGGAGATTACTGATATGTCACCTTTCATCTTTACAAAATTTGGTTTTGCTTGTGTTCTCAAGTGGCTATATGTAGTGTTTATTGGAGATCTTTAAAATCTTGATTTTTCTTAATAATAATTATTATTTTTTTATCAATTCTTTTTTTTTTTTTTAATATACTTTATTGATTTTTCACAGAGAGGAAAAGAGAGGGATAGAGAGTTAGAAACATCGCTGAGAGAGAGTGTCACCGGTCAGCTACCTCTTATATACCCCCTACTGGGGATGTGCCGCAACCAAGGTCCATGCCCTTGGCCGAATTGAACCCGGGACCCTTCAGTCCCCAGGCTGACGCTCTATCCATTGAGCCAAACCGGTTTTAGCAAAATCTTGATCTTTTGAACCTTAGGTACTCATCATCATTGTACCCATTCTCTATTTCATCTCTGTTAAAATATTTTAGTTTTTATTGTCTTTATTTTTCTAGTGTACATTCGGTGTTATTTTGTGTTAGTTTCAGTTGTATAGCAGTGGTTCGATAATCATTTACTTTACAAAGTGTTTCTGGATATTTCCAGTTGCTCAACTGGTAGTTTTCATTGTCTTATTATGAAAAGTTGCAGCATTTAAAAATTTATTTGCCCTTCTGAAAGGAAGTTTTTGATTTTGGAATTTTTTTCACCAGACTTGTATTTTAATACTGTAGGTACAGAGTTTATAATCAGATATAGTCATGCTACTGGTGAGCATAAATATTTGACCTGGAAAGGCTGTAGATATGGTTCAACATTATTTTTATATATCTTTGTTTTCCAGGAAATTTACAGTGAATTATCTGGATGTTTATGGACATTATAAATGAACTAGAGGTCTGTCCGGTGCATGGATTTGTGCACTGGTGGGGTCCTTGGTCTGGCCTGTGCCGTCTTGTAATTCAGGACCTCTTGGAGGATGTTGGAGGCCCCTTGCACGAATTTGGCCTGATCCCTGCAGGCCAGGCTAAAGGACCCCACTGGTGCACGAATTCGTGCACTGGGCCTCTAGTATACATTATAAGATGTTTGGTTAATCTCTTCCCACCTTTCCCATTCCCTCCCCCCCTGAGATTCATCAGTCTGCTTCATGTTTCCACTTTGCATTGAGTGTCTGCCCCCTGGTGGTCAGTGCACATCATAGCTACCAATCAAATGATTGAACTGTTGCTTAGGTTTTATATAGATTGCTAGAGAAGGTTTCTAACATTTAGGAATAGAATGTGGATTCAGGATTTCTTCAGTATTTAAGTATATAACTGTTATTGAATGAAAGTATAACAGTTGAATGCCAGACTAACTTAAGTGTATGCATTTTTTATTATTTACATTATAGATATTACATATAGGTATTATGTATAGTTAATTATAATAATAATGAAGGATTGCTTAACTTGGAGGATTTATAAACATAACTTAATTAAGAAATATGTAATAAGTTTTATGTATAGAACTGTATGCTGAATTTATGAAGTTTTTTAAGGGGATTATTATAGGTTTTACCTAAATGATTTGAAAAAAAACCTTTTTCTTATATATGATTAAAATTTAACAAAACCTTATGCCAGTGTAATATTGAAATTAGTAATCTATTATAGTACAAATATAATAGAAATATGAATGCTTTTATTTATTTTAACAATGTATTTTTATTGATTTCAGAAAGGAAGGGGGAGAGAGAGATAGAAACATCAATGATGAGAGAGAATCATTGATCAGCTGCCTGCTGCACACCCCCAATTGGGGATTGAGCCCACAACCTGGGTATGTGCCCTGACCCTATGACCTACTGGTTAATAGATCCACACTCAACCACTGAGCCATGCTGTCTGGGCATGAAGGAAGCTTTAAGAAAAAAAAAAAAATCCCTTTGTAATTTTTGTATTGTCATTATTAGTGTTTTTAAATTTTATCTTTCTGATTGTCCACCAGGCTTATGTTGATTTGGTGGGATTATAAAATCAAAGTAGATCTTAACATAGTATTAAAAAATATAACTGAAACATTTCCAGAGCCATACTTCTTTTTTTGGCTTTTAACATTTGAGATCTTGTCTTTGTATTGGGATTTCATTATGTTAAATGAATTTGGTCATTCTTTTTTCCTTTTATCTATGTGCTTTAGTTTGGCAATTTAAATATGCTAGATCATGTTTTGTTTAATAACTCTTTTTAATGGAAGAAGTACTTTATAAATTTGTTGCACCTGAAAATAATAAAAAATTTGACATGCATAAATAACTTTTATTTTAAAGGTATTGCTATTAAGGAGTCAGCAAAAGTGGGTGATCAAGCTCAAAGGAGGGTGTTGAAAGGTGTTGATGACTTAGACTTCTTCATTGGTGATGAAGCAATAGAAAAACCTACATATGCAACAAAGGTATATTTTATGATTTGTAAATTATAAATAACATTTTCTTTCAAAAATTAGTTTATAATTGTGCCATTTGGATGGAATTCACTCTGTTATAGGCCTGATAGTTTCAACCTCTTCACAATAGAAATTTCTCCTTTCCTGTGGCCCCTCCCAACTTAGTTTTAACTTATTTATTTTTTTTCCAAGTGGAAAATTTCACCCTGCCCAAGTGAGTAGAGTTTACTTTTCGCTACCTACTAGATCTCAGAATCAGAAATGTGATTGCCTTTCTCATTGCCACATTTAGAGACATTTTCCATAAGTTTTCAAACCTATACCATTTCTTTTCTTTTTGAAGCTTATGTCACCTGGAAGTGCTGCTCTCTTTTCCCTTCATTGTCTTTTTCCTTTCCTTATCCTGTCATTCTTCCCCTTCTTCCTTTTTATTGAGGTGTAATTTGTATGTAGTAAAATAGATAAGTCTTAATTATATAGTTAAAAAAATTTTTATGGCTCTCATAAAATAAAAGTTCAGGAAATAGAGTAAATCTAGTAACCTAGAGGCTTTTCTTGTGCCTACTCCCATAATCACTACCTCTACCCATACCAAAAGATAAATACTATTCTGACATTTATGATCTTATTTTTAACATTGACTTTGCTTCATTTGCAAATTTCCTCCTTTGTTCCTCATTTCTTTTGTTCTCATAATTTATTAATGAACACTACCAAGTGTAAAAAATTTGGCTAAGTGCTGAGAATACAGTGATAAGTAACAAAATGACTTTCCTGATGAGGTAATTATAATGTAGTGGAAAGGAATATACTGAGAAAGTAATTATAGGTGTTAAGGGAGTTACAAAAAGGAAAATACAGAATAACTGGGAATGTATATCAGGAGTAGCTAACCTATTTTGTGGACTCAGAAAAATCTTTAAGGAGTAAATCTTTAAGCTGAAGCTTCAATAATAAATAGGTGTTGGATGAATTGTGTGCGCAAGGTTACATACACTAGGCAAAAATTCCAGTACTCAGGAAGGCATTAAAGTATGCGGGGAGCCTGAAACTGAACGACCAGTGTGCCTAAAGCATAGAGGAGGTAGAAAGAAGTGGGGAGGCTGAACAGGTAGGCCAGGATAAGATTGTTGAAAGTGTTGTTAGGCCATGTTAAAGAATTTAACATTAATGGTTTTAAGTAGTGATTAAAAGTACAAATATTGAAGTATATTGGCTTGGCTGGAGTTCTGGCTGTGCAATTTTTTTTTTTTTTTCTTCAGAGAGGAAGGGAGAGGCATAGAGAGAAATATCAATAATGAGAAAGAGCGGGAGTGGGTGGGATAGTTCAATGCAAGAGAGAACATTGATTGGTTGCCTTCCATACATGCCTTGACCAGGTATTGATCCCAAAATCTAGGCAAGTGCTTTAACCAGGAATTGAACCCACCAACTTTCGGTATACAGGATGATGTTCCAACCAATTGAGCCACACTGGCCAAGCTTATCTCTTTTTGCTTTTATTTATAGAAAATTTTTGGTTGTCTTGTTAAATGATTCATATTCTGGATTCTGATGATTGCATCCTTGTGTCATTTAATGATTTAATGTGATCTACTTTATATTTACTTTGGGGGGAGGGTCTGTAGTAAAACGATAGTTAAATCTAGACGTTTGATTAGATTTTTGTAAAAATAACGTTGGTTTATTGTTTTTTTGTTTGTTTGTTTTGGTCAAGAATGAAAAAGTTGATATTTAAGGAGTAACAGGGAATGGTTAACAAAATATTGGTGGCAATACTTTGTACCTAGTAATTGGCTGAAACCGGTTTGGCTCAGTGGATAGAACATCGACCTGCAGACTGAAAGGTCCCAGGTTCGATTCCAGTCAAGGGCATGTATCTAGTAATTCAGGATAATTCTCAGTTCTTGGAAAGTTTCTTTGCTCCTCATTTCTAGAGATTGAGAACATTTAAGGGAAAACATTTTTGACTGGGTTGTGATGTAGAGAGGAGAGGATAAGTTTCATTTTTAACAAGTAGTGTTGTAGGTATCTGGGAGACATCTGATACATTGTTAGATAAATATTTGGCTTTTGGAATTCAGAAAAAAGACAAATATTTGGAAGGTATCATTTATCCAGGAAGGGCTGAAATTACCTAGGGAAGTGTACACCAGAGAAGGGCCTGGACACAGACTGATAAGTGCTCTATTTAGGTTTGAATAGAAGAGGAAATCTTTGCAAAGGAGCCTGAGAAAGCATGGTTAGAGGATGGGATAAACAGGAAAGTGCTAAACAGCATGGAATGTTGCTAAGATATCAAGTCACTTGGAGCCCATATATTAATTACTGTTTTTTAGCTACAAGGATGTCATTTGTCACCTTAATAAAAGTCATTTTAGGAGTTATGTGGCTGGATTACAGAAGGATGGATTGTGAATGGTAGGTCAGGAAAAAAAAATGTCAATATTCATTGAGGTTTGGCTGTGATTGGGAGAGAGAGAGAGAGAGAGAGAGAGATCAAGAGACATGTGGATTTAAGGTAGAAGAAATGTTTAAATGCTGTTATGAAAGCTCCATTAGAAAAAGAGATTAAAATAACATGTAATTCAGGTCTCTGAGAAAGCCAAAAGGGTGAGGTCCAGAGCACAGATGATCTAATTGATATGTGGAAGATTCTTTTATGTTATTAAAGAGTGAAAGAGAAAAAGGAATACATATGGAGTCAGTTTTATAGATTTGAAGAAGGGACTCCTGACTGTTGGTGTCTGCTGTCTCTGTCTCTGTGAAATACATGGCATTATCATCTCTGGTTCCCAGGAAATAGTGGGAGGTGGGTGAAATCTGAATAATGGGGACATTTAAAATCATCATTGTGGAGAGTAAAGATGAATAGAGTAGAAACAAATGCTTGCCTGGCAAAGTTAGGTCTATTTGAGAATAGCAAATGAATGCTTAGTTTTATCAACCCAGTTACATATGTTTCTTCAGTATAGCCAGCATTCTGTGATAGGCAAGTTTAGGGTAGGATCATGCTGAGTTGAGCTTTGGTAGATAGAATGAGAAAAGGAAGTATGAATAGTCAAAGTGGTGTGGCATAAAATCTAAGTGTGTGTGTGTGTGTGTGTGTGTGTGTGTGTGTGTGTGTGTGTGTGTGTGTTGGGGGGAGGTGATAGCTAGGGAATAATTATGATAGCCAGTGGCCTGCTAGTCTAATTGTAATAAAGAGAGATATAGCAAGTTGCTGGCGGATGAATGGTTATGATCAGAGTGGAGTGTCCTTGCATTTCTGGTACTTAGAGATGCTGAGGATACTAAGATCTAAGCTAACCAAAATGGGGAAAAGAAATCTTTGAAGATGTTGAAGTCAGTGAGCTGAGAGACCATAGTTCCTTTGCACTAATTCTTTTCCCTTAAACACATTTTCATGTCTTCCAAATTCTGCAAGCAAACCTAAAAAACCAAAACTTTCTCAGTCTTTATTTGTACTTTCTTTCCTCAGTCTTTTAGCTATTATTTTCCTTTTGAAACCAAATTTCTTATTTAGTCTCTAATTATTTGATAAACTATTAAATCTGATTGTGTGTAACAGTCTTCATCCTTCTTGAATAATGGGGACATTTATTCTTTATTTGTTACTGTTTTATTTTTGCTATTGTTACTGGTTCTTCTTCCATTGCCCACTACTCAAAAGTTTTTATTTCCCAGGTATTGTCCTTGATTTTCTTTTATTTCTTTATTAAATTCTTTGTGTAGGTGATCTATTCCACTCCTCTGTCTGCAACTATAACCTAAAATCTCTACTTCCAGTTCCTTGGCCTCATTTCCAACTACCCACAGTCAACTACTCTACTGCCTGGCTCTCAAATATAATCTACCAAAACAAAACATATATACTCTACCCTTGCTTAATTCAAGAAAAAATAAAACAGAACTTTTGTGTCTCGATTAATAGGTTCTTTCCGGTCTGACTTCAAAGCTAAAAATACTGATATCTTTACTTTTCTTCTCATTAATAATGATAGAAATCCTAAATCTGGCCTAGTATCATTGATACCACAGTTGGGGCTTTTATTTTCTCTTGCTTAGTTGTCTTAAATTCTTTTCAGCTTTCTCAGTGCTGCTATAATAATCTTCCTAAAAACCAAAGCTGTTCTTGTCACTCCCCTGCTTAAAATTTTCTGCTGAAGCCCTATTTAATATAGAATAAAATCTAAATACAAGGAAAATACAGTTTTTGAGAATCTGGTCCCTTTATCTAGAACTGATCTGTCTTTCTATACCCCTCCTCCTAACACTTTTGTTACACACATTTCTCATTGTTAAATGCAGTGTTTGTCTTTTTACATCTTTTTCTTTCTATTCTACATTTATATGTTCTTCCCTCTCCCTCCTCCAAAAAAATAAAATTAACAAGGTTGCTACATTAAAACCCGGTTTAGATATGACCTCATTAGTCATACAGGAGTATTTCTATTTTCCCTTAGGAGCCTAGCTTCTTATCTAGTCCTAGGTACTTTATTTCTTTAAAAACTTACAATAGATTTGTATCTATCTCTTTCATTAGATTGAGCTTCTGGGGGGCAGGTTGTACATGTCCTTAGCATTTGTGCCAATGGTTCACAATTGCTACACAATAAAATAACACTTAGATTATTTAAATATGTAAACTTCAGTAATGTTATAAAATGAATGATATAGTACATATTTTTCCTTACTTAAAGCAAGGAGAATTTATAGTATAATGCCTTAAAAAGTGTGGAGAAGACTAGGGTGAGATGTGGATATTAGGGATTAACTGATAATATGACTATAGGAGTAAATGACTATAGGAGGTTTACTTATTCTTTCAGTATAGCGTATTGAGTATGTACTATGTGCTTGGAACTATATATTTTTGTTTGTTTCTTTTTCTGAAATATATATTTAAATTTTTTTGCATAAATTTTAACTTGCTTATATAAGGGATTCTTTATATATTTGGAATACTAATCTTTTGTTATATGTGTTGTGGAACTGTATTTTATTGCAGAAATTCACAAATTTTCTCAATGCTTTTTAATGTCTCAGTAAGATTGTGTAGAGTGATCTATAGACCAAAAGAAATATCTAGCAGTTTGCTTATTAAGTAGCTAGGTCTAAGGAACTAAATAGCCTTTGAAAAAAATAAAGACACTTACTTGAAAGGAAAAAATTTAATTGTTAAATAATTAAAATTCTCTTAGAACATATGTGCCTATTAGGTACTTCACAACTTCTCAGACCTGGAATCAGATTGCACATTGCCTCCTGCATTTCGTATTTTACACTAGAGGCCCAGTATGTGCGAAATCATGCGGGTTAGGGTCCCTAGGCCTAGCCTGGCCTCTGTCGCTGGCCTCTGCTGCCCTACGACACTACGTGAAGCTCCCCTCCCAGGGACCGTCCCTCCGTGATGCTCGCAGCCCCTCGACTGCTCCACGAGGCTTTTCCGGCCCCGCCATGCTCCACGAAATCCCCCCTGCCCTGCCACTGCCCAACAAAACTCCCCCCACCCTGCTCCTGGTCCATGAGGCTCCTGCTACCCCTCAACTGCTCCGTGAAACTCGCTGCCTCCCTGTGAAGCAGCCCGCCACTGCCGCCCATGGCAAGCAGTTCGGGGCCGGTGAGGGGGATGACTTGAGAGGTGCTCCATGCACTTTATGGTGACTGGCTATCCGTTTGGTCGTGATGGCACCTGGCTCTTTATATATTAGGATGAGTTTTGGGGAGAGGTATGAGTTTTTATTATAGCAACCACTGGCAAATCAGCTTCTCAAAGAGGTGATGTTATTGAACATAATATATGTAGTATTACCTAATGTTGAAACTGAATTTCTCTGCTGGTAAGATATGCAGTGTTGAACTGATTTTGGGTGTCACTGTATTTTCCTGAAAAATTTAAAGTAATTGGAGTTATCTTTGTGAATTTGCTGTAGTACCCTGGGGCTCAGTTTTGAAAGCATGTTTCTTTACAAATATATATATAGTTTTTCTTTAAATTTATGTGCTTGAGTTATTATTGCTATTACTTACCAACTGTGTTTTATATATTAAGCACATATCAAATATTTGTGAAAGAGCTGATAAATTAAAAATTAAGGAAATTGTAGTAAACTATAATTTTCATAGGCTTAATTTTAAGTTTTTCGCTTATTACAAAATTTTCAGAAATCCAGACTAGTACAATGATTTTCCATCTAGATTTACAATTTTTAACATTTTTACATGTTTGCATTATGTTTTTAATTGAATCACCAGAAAATATATTGTAGAGATAATTTTATTTATAGCTTAATAGTTATGTATGAATCTCTAAAGAATGATCTACAATTTGATTATCACACCTAAGAAATGCTGTCCTTATCTAATATTCACTAATGATCTAGTATTTTCAGGGTTTTTAAATTTTGGTAGTTTTTTTTTTTTATGTTAGTAATATTTGTATTTTTTTGTTTTGTTTTGTTTTAATAGTGGCCAATTCGCCATGGTATAGTTGAAGATTGGGATTTGATGGAAAAGTTTATGGAACAAGTGATCTTTAAATATTTAAGAGCAGAACCTGAAGACCATTATTTTCTTTTGGTAAGTACAAATTGTAATCTCATTGAGGAAAGTTTTAAACTCAATGAGAATATTTTCATCACATCTGTATTCACAAGGGTGAATTTTTATTAAATTGTCATATGTCTAAAAGACTACTAAAAAGCTCTGTTGTTTTTAAGATTATCCTGTTCTGGAGTTCAAAAGTTTAGACACTTAAATTCTTTTGATGATTAATATGTAATTTTTTTGATAGGAATATTAAGGTTCAGAAAAAAGTTGGAAATGTGGCACTTCCTTTTTAATTGTAATCTGATTATTATTTGTAATTCTTGGCAATAAAAATACAATATAACTTAATTTTTAAACTTTTTTCTTTTTACCAAAATAGTTGCATATTCATATTTTTCAAAAAATCAAATGGTGTAAGATGGAAAAAAAAAAAAAAGCACTCTCCTTCCTCACCTCTCCCAACCCTTGATTTGTATTTTTCAGAGACTAAAATTTAAAAATTAATCCATGTGGTTGAGGATACCAATAACATGTTGCTTTTTCTGGGTGTATCCTAATGGATGAATATGCCTTACTATGTATTTCTGTTGATGTTCACCTAGTCCTAGGCTTTTTCCAGTTTTTTACTATTAACAATAGTTAGCTACTGGGAACATTCATATACAGATCTTTTTGGGGACACATGTTTTCATTTCTTTTGTATAAATACTTTGGTACATAATTGCTATAGGTAGGTGCATAATAGGTTTTATAGGAAACTTTCAGAATTTTTTCAGAACCTTTTATATAAGATGTTAGTAAGTTGGTTGCTCAACAATCTACCCAATATTTGCTGTGTTAGTCTTTTTAGTTTTAGCCATTTTAGTGGGTGTGTAAGCTTTCTCATTTTTAATTTGCAATTTCCTGATGACTAATGATATTGAGCACTTTTTCATGTACTTACTAGCTATCTGTATGTTTTCCTTATGAAGTTTCTGATTATATTTTATATAGAACTTCTTTTGTTTTGGAGTTTATAAGTTTTAACTGCTTTGGTTTTTTAGTTTGCTTAATTTTGATGTATTGCTAAATATCTTCATACTGTTGAACCTAGTTCCAAACTCTTTAACATCAGGGAGTTTGACTATTAAAAGTTTTGCATATGAAAAACTCTATTTCTGCTTAATTTTTTAAAACTTTATTTATAGTGTTTTTTTTAAATTGAAAGAAATACATTTAATTTGTAATGAATTCAAGTTTTATCTTTTTGTTGTTGTTGTTGTAATTTTTACTCTGTAAATGTAAGGAATCCCTGTCTTTCCTCAAGCTCAAAAAGATAATTCTTTGGTGTTAAAGGTTAAAAGTTTTGCCTTTTAACTTTACATATTTGAGATAACAAAAAGGATTGGATTGTCATATCAGGCTCATAAGAATCCATCTTACCCAGTTTTCAGCTTTAATAATTTAAGTAAATTAAATAATCATGAGATGTAAGCAAAAATGAGGTCTGGGATTGCCAGTGCTGTTCCCTAGGTCTTTTTGGCTCAGACTTAACCCAGACACAGGCTTCTAAGTGATGTATGCAGCCACATAACTTAAACTGAAGAGAACTATGTAAATATCTCCATTTTATAGTCGCTTAACGGTTATGTTAACTTGCATAACATTTTTCTCAGGAAGCTGTGCCATAAATTTATAGAATCTTATCTATCTATATAAAACACTAATATGCAAATTGACTGAAAGGCAGAACTACTCGCAAAGGCCAGTCACTTTGATGCACACTGACCACTAGGGGGCAGATGCTTAACACAGAAGCTGTCCCCAGGCTGCAGGCCCTGGCCTATGGCAGTGGCAAGGGGTAGGGCTGGCAAGCAGGTGGCACCAAGCCAGCCAAGGCGGGTGCAAGTGGGGGCCACATGATCACACTGCCAGTCACCCTGCAGATCATCCCTGATTACCTGCCAGGCCTAGGGACCCTACCCATTCACGGAATTCTTGTACTGGGGCTCTAGTTTACTATAATTACAGACAGATAGGTATATTCTGCTATAAACAGTGCATACCATATTTTCCGTATAAGACGACCCCCTAATTTTACTGTTAAAACAGGTTTAGGCCTATATTTGCTACACACACACACACACACACACACCCCCCCCCCCCACTTCCGAGGCAACACCAGTTCTTTTTTTAATAGACTGCCTCTCTGACTCTGGCCAATCTGAGCAGGTTTTTTTTACTAGAACACAGTGTAGCTTCGGGTACAGAATATGTACACTATTAAAAAAAGAACTTATACAGCAAATATAGGCCTAAACCTGTTTTAACTGTAATATTAGGGGGTCGTCTTATATGCCAGAAAATATGGTAAATGATTCTTCCACTAACAAATACCATTGGAGGTCTTTCATTACCATGTTTACAAGGTTATTTGACTGGGTCTTCTTCCTCCTTCCTTCTTTCCCTTTCTCATTGTTTAATTCTTACAAGTGGTGTGACAAGAATTTAGTTTTTTTTTTTTTTTTTTATGTGAATAACCATATTCTTGCATATATTTAGATCTGTTTGAATTCTCTATTTTTTCTTTGATCCATGTGTCTCTTTACCTCTAAGCTTAATTACTTTTAAATACAATGACTGAAATAAATTATTTCTCTTTTAAAATTGTTTTTGAAGTTATCAAAATATTCTGATATTGTCTATTTAAAATGTTATTCAATTTAATAGACTGAACCTCCTTTGAATACTCCAGAAAACAGGGAATATACTGCTGAAATAATGTTTGAATCCTTCAATGTTCCAGGCTTGTACATTGCTGTGCAGGTAAGCAAGTTCATAAGTTAAGAGAATCTGGATTCTTAAGTTTTAATCTGGTTTAATTCTTATCTATCTATCTATCTGTATTATAACCTCAAAGCACATCATAGTTCTCTTCTGAATTGATAATTTAGAAATAATATTATAGGAAATTGAGTTTTAGTCAGTAGAAAAGAAGTGTTAAAGTATGTTAATGGTTTTTGGTTAACTCATGGCCTTTTATAGGACAGAAAAAAGGGAACTAAAGTTCATTGACTGTTTCTACCATGTCAAAAACTTATCTATAAAAATAAAAGGGTAATATGCTAATTAGACCAGACGTCTTCCAGGTGTCATTCCGACTGTGAGTGTACCCCCCATGTCCCGCGTGGTTCAAGGTTCAGGGTTCAGGTTCTGATGGAGGCCTCACATGGATGAAAAAGATAAGACAAGAAAATACTAATTTGGGAATTGGCCAGGCAGAAGCACAAGAGAGGACTTGGCCTTGTGATCCTTTTATTCAGGTCTGGGATACACCTATAGCCCTTAGGCAGGCAATTCCAGTAATAGCTCCATGATAGCCCATCAGCAAGGATTTACATAAGACTAAAAGTTGCTTTTGCTGCCTTTGTCTCCACCAGACCCTGAGTGTAAGGCTCTGACTCTTGCTGGAGCCTCAAGGTTTCTGCTAGTGAAGGCAATGGGCAGCTTCCAACACTGGAAGTCCTTCCTGACAAAGCTGGGACCTGAGGGAAGCAGTCCAGTTCTGGGTGCAGGAGGGAAGAGGGTGCCAGCAGCCAGGGGAAGGAAGGCTTACTCTTGAATGAATTTTCGTGCATTGGGCCTCTAGTATATGTATATTCATTTATCCTTATAACATTCGTTGTGTCCTTTTTTTACGGTCTTGTTTTGACTGATTTATTGCTAGGGTATTTGACCACCTTCTCCATTGTGCCTCTCTGTACCCTATTTATCATAAATCCCTGCAATACTTTATTATACTTAATTTGTATCTATATCTATATGGTACAGCTTCTGTCCCACCCCTCAGGATCAGAACTCACCTCTTATTTTTTAACCCTATAGTAAATGTGATAACCTGGTATATCACAGAAGCTTAATGAGTATAAAAACTATTATATAGTTCTGGTGGCACACAAGGTTTGTAGTGTGAACCTGTATTATAATTGGAGGACAGCCTAGATAACTTTCTAGGACCGTTTTTTCAACTATTTATATTGCAAGTAGATTTTAAAAAGCTAGTTTTGTTCTGTTTTTAATTATTAGTCATATATCTTATTTGAGGCTTGGATTGTATGAAATGAGATTTTAAAAAATGAACTAGCTGTGTTAATTTCTCAATTTGTAAACTTCTTTTTTAAAGAATTACACTTTATTGCCTATGCCACAATTTTTCACAGAAAAATGTTACCTCATCAACTTTGTTTTATAATTATATCATAGTATTTGGAAATGGGCAAGGGCTTTTTCTGTGATAAGTTGTTACATATCCCTAGATGCATGTTGCTCTTAGAAAATTTGGAGATAATCTTACAAGAGTGATACTTGTTTTAGCCATTTTTGTATTGAATAATTATGGTGATTGGGTGGTTGGTGGTATGCTTCTCCTACTTTGTTTTTTGTAATAAGCTAACCCATATAAACTTAGTTTAAGTCTTGGCAATCTTATACTATACAATTTCACTTTATTCTTCCACATTTTTTTGGCGTTAGGAGAAAAAAAGGTTCTCACTAAAATATGGAAAATATATAAATATGTCCCTGAAAGCAAATAGAAATTTGTAAATTTGTCTTAATAAAATGGAGGACGTGAATAATTTGATTGCATAGTGTAAATTAATTTTGAGTATTTTCTTTCCAGGCATACTACATTTAAAATTGAATAAAGTATTCCAGTTAAATATATGTAATTTTAACTCTCTGTCTTTGTTTCTTTTTTGCCTGTCTTATTTCTTTTTATTCAAGGCCGTTCTTGCCTTAGCTGCATCCTGGACCTCAAGACAAGTAGGGGAACGGACGTTGACTGGTACGGTAATAGACAGTGGAGATGGTGTCACACATGTCATTCCTGTGGTAAGAATATTTTAAAATTACTGAACAGGACATCAAATTACACACCTGACAAGATAAATTATATGAATTAATACCACTTTTTAAAACCTTAAATATTATACTTTAAAATTTTGCTGTGATTTGGCCATTTGGTCAACTATAGTTGTATTTTGCTCAAATTATTGTTAAAATTGTATAAACAAATCCTAAAATGTTTCTTTTGCTATAGGTTTGTACTACTATTAGAAAATAATTAGAATTTTATTAGCAATAGTTTCTAATTCATAATTGGAAAATGATGAATTGGAGTATATGAAATGAAAAAATACACGTTTTCTTAAACTTGGAATTCTTTTTTCCAGTTTGATGTGTATTTGTGTGTATTAACCAGTTGATAATCTCTGTTATCCTTAACACATTTCAGACTGGTGTGTACATTAACAAAATGGCAGTTATGTGTGAGCAATGACTATTAATGACTTTTAAGGAACTATTTTTTTTTTAAATAAAAAGCTCAAGATATGATTGGGCTTCATGGTTTGAATTTAGTAAAGCATATTAAGAAAACTATATCAGATTGGATTACTATATTGTCATGGGCACATGAGAACATCTCTGACATTTCATTTGTTAATGAAATTTAATTTTGCTACATTATTTTTTGTTCTTCTGATTTGGATCAATAAATTTATGAATTTATTCTGCAGAACTTAATTATTTGACATTGTTATGGTGCATGGTATGTCCGAAGCTTGTGAAATTGGTACTTACTTCATTGGGGAAAATGATAGCCAGCTTTTGAATTAATGATCAAATTTCCTACTATGAAATCTAAATTTCTTATTGAAATTTTGGAAGATTTAAAAATCATCTCATCTAAAGTCTATTATCTAAAATATTTACTACTTCTGAAAGTCATTATTTCTAAGTTATTGAGTTATTTCAGCTTGGTTATAAACTCATCAATGAGAGAGTGTTGCTGGCCATTCATTTTTGTTACTGTACAGTATTATAAACTCTATGATAAGTAACTATGGGGAATACAATTGAGGAGTAAAGACTAGAAGAATTATCCTGGGATAAAGTAATACTTTAGATATAACTACACTAACCTGAGATATTGGTCTTTAATAGCTAATTATTTAGGTTGTGTTAATTTTGAAAACATTGACAGTAAATTTGATACTTTTTTTCCTCCCCCTAGGCTGAAGGTTATGTGATTGGCAGCTGTATTAAGCACATTCCCATTGCAGGACGAGATATAACATATTTTATTCAACAATTGCTGCGAGACCGAGAAGTAGGAATCCCTCCAGAGCAATCCTTGGAAACTGCTAAGGCAGTAAAGGTATAGAGTGATGAGTTGTAATTCAGTTAGAGATTAAAATCAAAATTAAAATATTAACATGAAAAATTCTTAAGAACGGTCCTTAAAAAAAACATGTTAGCCAGTTACAAATTATTAATTGTGTGTGTGTGTGTGTGTGTGTGTGTGTGTGTGTGTGTTCGTGTTCTCTTTCTCTTGTAAGGAAATAATTTTGGGGTATTACCAATTCTTTTTTCCTCACATCTTAACATTTGAGAAGACTATCATACATTTTCATGACTATTTCCTTTTGTAAAATAAATTTGTTCACTTCAGAGTCCCCAAACCTCAATTTCTTCACTGAATTCCTTATTCTGAAAGTTTTCTGTTGCAAAATTATTTTGATTTAATTGATGGATTTTTGGCATAGTTAGCTTAAGTGTTAATGGCAAATAGAAAAATGTGAAGGCTGTGTAAGTATTCTGTTAACTTGTATGCTACATATGTCTTCATTATTTCAGTGTTTCATACAAACTATCAAAATACTGAGCATAATTTTTTACATGTATCATTTGTCAATATATCTACAAAATTTCATAGAGCCTATCACTTATGTTTGGAATATGTAAAAGGAAATCTAACCTGGCAAAAATAACTTAATTAACTTGCCCATCCTATATAATCCTACCTAATAAAAGAGTAATATGCAAATTGATCACACACACCACCACCCCCTACACCCACAAGTCACGCCCGCCAGCCACACCCACCAGTCAATCAGCAAATATGCAAATAAATCCAACCAAGATGGCTATAGCCACAGAAAGCAGAAGGGAGATTTGGGTTTCCCAAGCAATAGAGGAAGCCAAGCTTTCTGCCTGCTCTTACCATCCTAGGCCTCCACTCAAGGCTACAAAGTTTCAATTATAGAAGGTAAACAAATCCAAACAGAAATGGCTGTCTGCCACAGAGCAAGGGGCTTGGTTCTGCTCCAGGCTACAAAGTTTCAATTGTAGAAGGTAAATAAATTCCAGATACTTGGGTTGCTGTGGGGCGTGGCTGGCCTGCAAATCACCACAGGCCCCTTGCTCAGGCCACTTCATGCCCCAAGGGAACCCCCACCCTGATCCGGGACATCCTTCAGGGCAAAACAGCTGGCCCCCACCCATGCACCAGGCCTCTATCCTATCTAATAAAAGAGTAATATGCAGATTGACCATCACTCCAACACACAAGATGGCTGACCCATGTAGTCAAAGATCCTGCCCCTGTGTGGTCACAAGATGGCTGCCACAAGATAGCCAGCAGGGAAAGGCAGTTGGGAGGCACCAGGTCTACAAGGGAGGTCAGTTGAGAGGGACCAAGCCTGCAAGGAAGGGCAGTTGGAAGCAATCAAACCTGCAGGTGAGGGCAGTTAGGGGTGACCAGGCTGGCAGAGGAGGGAATTTGGGGGCAAACAGGCTGGCAGGGGAGCAGTTAGGCATCAATCAGGCTGGCAGGGGAGTGGTTAGGGGTGATCAGGCTGGCAGGCAGAAGCAGTTAGTAGCAATCAGGAAGGCAGGCAGGCGAGCAGTTGGGAGCCAGCAGTCCTGGATTGTGAGAGGGATGTCCAACTGCCCGTTTAGGCCCGATCCCACCGGGAGCAGGTTTAAACAGGCAGTTGGATATCCCTTGAGTGGTCCCAGATTGGAGAGGGTGCAGGCTGGGCTGAGAGACACCCCCCTCTCCCGTGCATGAATTTCATGCACTGGGCCTCTAGTTCTATATAATAAAGAGCTAATACACAAATGATCATCATGCCCTCACGCCCTTGTGCTGGGGCCGGGAGACCTGAGGCTGCACCCTCCCCACCCTGGCGCCAGGCTGGGGGACCTGAGGCCACGTCTACCATCCTGATGCTGGGCCAGGGGACCTGAAGCTACATCCCCCACCTGGCTGGGTTTGACGGGGGACCTGAGGCTACGCCCTCTGCCCTGCAGAACTTGACGGGGGGTTGGGACCAGCCGGGTCTGGGTCTCACATGATTTTGAGGTGTGCACCGTTGGGCGGGGACTTGACTCTGGGTCCCATGGCAAGCCCCACATTCTTAACAGGAGGGAAATTTTCATATACATTTTACTAATTTTCTTTCATCTCTGACACTTCTATTAGAGAGAAAGGGCAAATAGCAATATTAAAATATTTTCTCTAATTCCCTTTTATTGTGACCAGGCCACTAGTCTATATATGATTATTTTTAAGGGGTGGGAATAAAAATAAATTTACTACTTTATCTAGATAGTAAAGGAATTACTAAATGGCTGCCAAACATCACTCTACAGTTGGTGACATTATTCTTAAATATGTAATCAATATCAACACTACAGTTTTAATAGTTTTGGGAAATCTGTGGAGTTTGAATTAAATCTATTTTAGAGAATATTGATGCTCAGTCTGAATGTATTTTTTTTTTTTAAATCATTTTCTTTTTTGAAAATACAGTTTAATTGATTTCAGAGAAGAAGGGAAAAGGGAGAGAGAGAGAGAAACATCATGATGAGAGAATCATTGAATGTTGCACATCCCTCACTGGGGATCGAGCCTACCCCCTAGACATGGGCCCTGACTAGGAATTAAATAAACTGTGACCTCATAGCTTATAAATCAGTGTTTAACCATTGAGCCACGCTGGCCGGGGAAAGATCATTACTATGTAATTACTATTCCCAAGGTTTAGAGAAAGAAGACCTAATATAACTTAACCAAATTGCCTTGTGTTTTCTAATATTCTTTCTTTTTATATCCTTTGATTATCAGTAATAATGTTTGCATCTATCTTGGGTAAAATAATTGATATGTAAAAATATGTGAAATATGCATTTTTCTTTAAAAAGAAATAATGAGGTTGGAAGTTAGGAGTCCACAAATTGCAAATAGAATATTATAACCCATAATGTTTTGAATTGCATTTTAGTTGATAGCTTTTTCCTGGGACATATAACCAGATAAGCAACAATTCAGTTATGCAGGTGATATAGTGAAAAAGAATAGTTTATATTTTCAGCCTTTTTTTCTTCTGCTTATTCAGTTAGACTATAATCACTTTTATTTCTGCTAAGGATATACATTAATTTCTGTGGCTTTATCAATTATGAATAATTCTTTAGTTCGGTATTTTTATGTTTTCTCTTCTTTAGAATATAGAGTCTATTAATTATTAAAACAGTATAAAATTTTGGAATACATTTTTCAATGTTTTTTGCAATAACATTGAAATAGTAGAAATTGATTCTTTTATTATCAAATTGGTCTATTTATATATATGAAGCCAGGTGGTGAACTGTTCATTTCTACTACATAAAATTTTCTTTAGCTTAATTTTCTAATTTTATTTTCTAAAGTTTTTTTTTGTTTCTAGTTTACTGAAAATATGCCCCTCCCCCCTTTTTGTATTTTTCCTAAAACAAGAGGAATAAATTGCTTGTTTCTTTGTTTTTCTAGGAGCGCTATAGTTATGTCTGCCCAGATTTAGTAAAAGAATTTAACAAGTATGACACAGATGGTTCGAAATGGATTAAACAGTATACTGGAATCAATGCTATCTCAAAGAAAGAATTTTCCATTGATGTTGGTTATGAGAGATTCTTGGGACCTGAAATCTTCTTTCATCCAGAGGTAATTTTTTTAGATGGAATTGTTTTATAATACTCAGCAAAAAATATCAGATTATTCAAGAGAGTTAATCTCAGGAACTTTTTTTGTATACTAAAATGCTATAGTTAGTTATATATATATTTTTAAAAAGGCCTTTGTCAAAACAGGCTATTTTTCATGAATTTATAAAAATGAAATATTTAATATTTGTGGCTTATGTGGGGTTGTAGAAAGAGGGGAGTCCTTAAACTTTTTGATGATTTAAATAAAATATGTAACAATGACCATTATAAAAAAAACCAATTGACTGTCACAAAATATTTAATTGTTAGCAAAACAGTCTCTGTCTCTATGAAATGTTAGTGACATACAGGTTATATTAAATTAATGAAAAATACATGCTTTTAATAATGAAAAGTTCTTATAACTTATAAGGAACAACTTTATTAATAGAATTACTAAAGTTAAATGCCTACTCTTGCTTACTCATTTAGCAAATAATAAGTGGATATAATTGTCATGTTCTCAGTTTAAGTATTGGATATTCAAAAATTAATTTGTCTTGCTCTTACTGAGCTTAAAGAATAAGAAAGGTGAATACCTAAATAGGTATAGCTACTTTAATGGATGCATGCATCAGGTGAGGAAATAGAAGCAAAGAGCATCTAAGTTTGCTTGGGAGAACCAGATAAACTTTTTAGAGGAGATAACAGTTGAATTGAGACTTAAAGTGTGAATGGATGTTTGTTAGGCAGTTATGCTAGGGGAATATATATATCTGGCAGAGGAAATAAGCTGGGTAGAGGTTCTGAGATATAAGAGAACTAGATAATCCTAATATATATATAAAAAGGGGCCATCATGACTAAAACAACTGAGCAGACAACTGAACACAGGCTGTGTGGTACGACAAGGCTGGCAGGGGGGTTAGTGAGGGATGACCAAACAACTGAACAGCAGGTTTAGGCCTGATCCCATGACAAGCCCCCCCCCCCCCCCCCCCCCCCCCCCGTGCATGAATTTTATGCACTGGGCCTCTAGTAAAAGTATAAAGGGAGTAGTAGGAGATAGATCCAGATTGGTGTTCATGAGGGACTAATATGCTATGTAAAGGAGTACTGGATTCTGTAGTCATGCAGAAAACTTCAGCATGAAAATTATCGATTTATGTGCAATATTAAAAAAGTCACTCTGGCTGTACTGGGTTGGATAGATTGGAATAGAGGTGTGAATTGTGTTGGAAGCAGGTGAGTTTATTGCAGTTTTTCAGATGAAAGTTAAATGTTAGTAGGTCAATGAGAATGAGAAGGAAGGTGAAAGAGAAGGAATAGAATCAATGTGACTAACTGATGTTTAGATGTGAGAAGAGTAAAAATATGAAGAATCTTCGATGATTCCCAGGTTTGTATCGTAATTAGATGTTATGCCATCCACTCAGATTAGGAACAGTGAAGGGAAAGAATAGGTGAGGTGGAAACATGAGATGACTTTATTATGCATCTTTAAAGGATTCCAAAGTGAACACTTGGGTTCTAAGGATTTTGAACTGTAGTGTGTTTTCAAGTGAGGATAGGTGTGGATTTATCAGTACGGACGGAACAAAGGAAGAGAATGGTCAGGGAAAGGATGTGGAGTGGGAATAAGAAGAAGAGTGGGGCCGTAGTCAACACTAGCACTTTATGGACACGCAGAGTAAGAGGAGCATGCAAAGAATACTGAAGAATGCAGAAAGGCAGCAGCTGAGCCAAAGGATTATGCTGTTAACATTAAAAGAAGTGAGAATTTGAAGAAGTGAGGTTAAAGAGTAGTGCTCATTGATACAGTATGGTAATAAAGGAAACTTGCGAAGCACTCATGGGTTTTTGCATCCAGATTATTGGTGTTCTGGGGGAACAATTTTAGGGGAATGGTGTGATAGAGGCAGCTTGTTGCCTTGGTGATGGATGAAAGTTGGGAATTCATAGTATGGACCTCCTGGGGTTATGCCTTTTAAAAAGTTATCTGTAGTGGTGCTTTTAGTAGAGAGAGAGAACAATATTAGATACTAGAGACCTGGTGCACAAATTCGTGTACCAGTGGGGTCCCTTAGCCTGGTCTGCAGGATCAGGCTGAAACCAGCTCTCCGACATCCTCGAGGGGTCCCAGATTTTGAGAGGGTTAGGCCAGGCTGAGGGACCTCACTGGTGCCTGATCAGGGGCTGGGCAGGGACACGGAAAATTGACAAGCCCGGGAGGGACTGTGGGAGGGATATAGGATGTGCCCAGTCAGTCTCATTCAGTCCTGATCTGCAGGACCCAGCAGCAAGCTAACCTACCAGTCGGAGCATCTGCCCCTTAGTGGTCCATGAACGCCTTAGTGACTGATTGACTGGTTGACTGTCTGCCCCCTGGTGGTCAGTGCACGCCATAGCAAGTGGTTGAGCAGCCTTAGCATATTATTGGCAAACGAGAGGCCTGATGTATGAAAATTTGTGCAAGAGTAGGCCTTCCTTCCCCTGGCTGCTGGGACTGGCTTCCCTCCAGCATCCAGGACCCAGGCTTTCCTCCTCTGGCAGCCAGCAGGCACTTGGGACCTGGGCTACTTCCCTCCTCTGGTTATTCACAGGCACCGGGAACCCAGTCTGCTGCCCTTGGGCTGCCGCAGGCACCCAGGACCTGGGCTGGCTTCCTTCTGGCTGGGCTTCGTCAAGAGGGATGTCTGTAATGACATCTGAAAGACATCTGATCTAATTAGCATATTGCCCTTTTATTATTATAGATTATGCTTTGATTGGTTGAATGCACAACTGGACACTTTGCACATTAGGCTTTTATTATATAGGATAGGATGTGTGTTCAGTTCACTGTATTTTTTGAGAATAGACCTGTTTTATGTATATTAACTGGGTCACTTCCCAAATGAATTTTAAGTTTCTTCTGTAGTTTTAGGTATGTCTGTCATAGTTCCTCTGACATTTGAAGGATTTGCTCTGTTTTTTATTTTGATTAGATGAAGGGATAGGCATCTGGACTTGAAAATTTGAAGATAAAATGTACAAAAAAGTAAGGATCTTTATTTTTGAAATGTTAAATTCATCACAGATACAAGAACTATTTTTAGGAGGAATTTTAGTATTTTGCTTTTTATCTTTTTAAGGAAATTATAAATTTTTGACAAAACTATTTGGATTGTTGTGTTTCATTGAGTGTATTCTTTATACATTTTTCAGCGGAGAGGAAAAATCTTCTTTCGATAGCCACTTGTGGTAATATGAAGACCTGATCAGGGAGCATTTGGAAGCAAGACATCCTTTTGCTGAAAGTGAAAGAAAGGCCTAAAAATATTCTTAATAGGGACCCTAGGTTGAGCTTTCTAGTATTAAAGTATTGAATAACCTTCAACAATTCGTTAATTTGTTTACTGTGAATTATTTTTTCCTAAATTTATTTACTAAATATTCATTGCTTGCTGCTTTACTTCATATTATTCTACTTTTCACCTGGGGTTCTATATCACTATAGCCCCTGAGCTTTTTCAAAATATATATTTAAATAAGACTTAATTTCTTTCTAAATCAGATTTTTTTGTGTGTGGATCCAGATTATGGGAAGATTTAAATGTTTTACACGTTTTTCATTTCTCTATATTCTTGATTTAAAAGCCTTGAGAAGGGCACAGAGTTAGAGTACAGGAATGAACGACCCTATTCCAACATTTCACTTGCTCATAGTTACCTCATGTGTGTATTATTGTTTTAGTTAAATACTGAAGGGTTTACAAAGTTACAAAGGGTTAACAAAGATCAGTATAGAGAATTTGCAAGTTCTGTATTAACAAATTGATAACATTTTTTAAAATGAATATCATAGCACATATTTTCTGTCATTGTTAATATTTTCTGTCTGGGTTTTGAGAATTATATATCTTAAGCTGTTGACAGGCTCTCAGGTTGTAGAGGTTATTGGGGTAGTAGGTACGTTTGTGTTATAACTTCAGATTTTTTTTTTTTTTTAAACAGACTGGTTAAAAAGGTAGAGTTGAGATGGAAAATCATTTGATAGTTTAAATCATTGTAGAATGAAGTTAAAAATAATAACGTTTTTAAAACTTCATTTTTAATTGTGACATTGAAGTCAGTATTGATCTAATCTCTATTGTTTATCCAACTTTACTTACTTTTCAGTTTGCTAATCCAGACTTTACTCAGCCTATCTCAGAAGTTGTAGATGAAGTAATTCAGAATTGTCCTATTGATGTTAGACGTCCCCTCTACAAGGTCAGTATTTACAGATAAATTGTGATTGAAGGTCATACTTTTAAAAGCTTCTTTATTTTTTGTCCATTGTTGAATATTGCATTTAAAACACCTCTCCTTAAAGGATGTAATTGGATTTTAATCAGCTTAACAATAACCCACAACCTTTGGACCAACTGTAATTGGATTTTATTACCATTTCTTATATCTTTAGGTTTTTTTTTATTCTTTTAAAATAAAAGTCATGCTTGCTTATTTGTTTTACTTTTCTCCACTAATATAGAATATTGTCCTCTCTGGAGGGTCAACCATGTTCAGGGACTTTGGACGTCGCTTGCAAAGAGATTTGAAAAGAACTGTGGATGCCAGGCTGAAATTAAGTGAGGAATTGAGTGGCGGTAGATTGAAGGTTGGTTTTTTTCTGTAATTAATGGGGAGGTTAGGGTGCTTGATTATTTTAATAGGAATGGAATTGTCTGCCAACTTTTGCTTTTATTAGGAAAATAAGTGGAACTGTTGGAAATTCTAATGGAGAATGATTAATATTAAACATTCATATCTATATTCTTGACTATTTGATTCCTTTAGGATATTACCTACATTTCTGGAAAATATTCTTGTAGCTGTGAAAGAGATTTATGTTTCATCCTTGTTAAATGTAGAAAATTGACACAAAACATAATTCAGAAGATACGTTGCTAAATAAAACAACTGGAAAATTTCCAAGAATGAGGAATATTAGTCAGTCAAAATTACAGTAAAATACAACACTCTAGAGTTTGCTGCCTTTTGAGAAATTACATGATTTCTGGCTGTTTTCAGCCCCTACATTTTGATTATTTTAATCCTACCCCTTGAAGTTCAGTTAAAAAGTATGTTTAAGAGTTCAGTGATTTTCAACCTTTTTCATTTCATGGCACACATAAGCTAATTACTAGAATTCTTCAGCCCCGCCCCCCCACAAAAAATATTTTTTGCTGATCTGACCAAAAAATTGTTATAATTTTGATTCATTCACACTGGATGGCTATTGTGTTGATTGTTAATTAGACAATCTAATGGAAAAGAGGCCAGTGTCTCTGACTAGTCAAGTATTGCATGCTCTAAAAATTCTGTGGCTCACCAGTTGAAAATCGGTGGTTTAGTTTATAGGATTCATTATAGGTACATGAAATGAGAAAATAAATGCTGCTTTTTTTTTAGTATTTCAATAAAGTAAAATTGTTTAACATATTTCTAACTTTCTGGTACATTTCTAAATAAGAAAGGAGAAATCCTCCCTTCCCTCCTCCCTGGGGTTTGCTGATCAGTGCTATACTGACATCTAGTGATACTGGGAAAACTTGATAAAGGATTCTCTCTCTTTCCCGTTTATTTTACTTGATAGTCATTTTATAGATCTTCATAAATCTTTATATATCTTTATCTAAATCTGGCATTATTTCCTTTTTAATCTGTAATTTTTAATGGCAGCCAAATAGCTTTTTTTTACCCCAAAACCAAAAATTAATAAGCCGCATCTTTTTATGACTTGTAAGTTTGAAAACTCTTTTTGAAATAATTTCATATTTACCAGAAACATTGCAAAACCTAGTAGGAATTCCTATATATTGTTCACCTAGATGTCCCAAATATTAGCATTTTATATATATTTTATGTATACATATACACACACACACACACACACACATACACACACATATATATTTATACACAAATATATACATATACCTACACATACAAAAATTATTTTTTTCTGAACTGTTTGGGAATGAGTTGCATATATGGTGGTCTTTTACTTCTAAAAGTTTAAAGTGTATTTCACAATTTTAAAATCAGGAAATTCATCTTGAATACAATATGTTATCTAGTTATAGATCTGATTCAAATTTCATTGATTGTAAAAGGGAAAAATACATATTTTTTTCTGATTTAGGATACAATCCAGGATTACATGTTCGAATTAGTTGCCATGTCGCTTCAGTCTGGCACAATTACTTAGTTTTTTTTTTTTAACCATTAATGTTTTTAAAGAGTGGAGATCATTTGCTTTTGCAATGGTTCTCATTTTGGGATTGTCAGATGTGTCTTCGTGATTAGGTTCAGATTATGCACTTTTGATAGTAATACCACAGAAGTGATGCTGTGTCCTTTCAGTGCATTTATTGCTAGACAGATGATACGATTTGTCCTGTATGTTAATTTAGATCACTTGGTTAAAGTTGTGTCTTTCAGGTTTTTCTACTATAAGGTGATTTTTTTTTTTTTTTTAAACATGTAATGAGAATCTTATGGGAAGATACTTTCAGATCTGCAACTATCCTGATACTCATCAAACGTTTAACCTCTAATTTTAACACCTATATTTCTTTCCTAAGAATTACGGTGGTAGTTGCCAAGTGGTATTTTGCAAATTCCATTATTCCTTTTACGTTTTTTAGTTTCATTTTACTTATGGAAAAGTGATTCATTCATTCATTCATTCATTCATTCATTCATATCTGTAGAAACTGATTTGCTTATTATTGTTATTCCATAGCTGTATCATTAATATCATTGATTTAATATCAACATTAATATTATTAATGTTATTACTTTTGATGCTCAATTTTTCTCAGGTTTGGCCAATGGGAGCCATTTGAAGTAGCTTTTTGGATGTGATCCCAGTATTTTTCAAGCACTTTCTTACTTTTCTGGCATAGCAAGATATTCCATGCTCATCCTGTACATTTTCTTCTCCAAACCAGGATTTAGCCCTTTTCTCCCCTGGGCACCCTTGTTCATTTTAGTGGAAAATGTTATTAGGAAATCAAGTGTTGGACATTAGATATATTCGTTGCTACTGGGTGTCAGTGCTTCTAAGGCTTCTTGGCGGTTGGAGCGTGTGTGTGTGTGTGTGTGTGTGTGTGTGTGTGTGTGTGTGTGTATGAACATCTGTATCTAGTTCTCTATGTAAATTAAAAACTGATTTCATGCTGATACTGCCAGTTCCAGAATACCAGAGGTTTGTTCTAGCCTTTTACCTTTCCATATTTGTAATGCCCTCTCGTTCAGTGAGAAACTAAACTGGCTTTTGTTATCTATAATATGTTTATATTTTTGCTCTGTTTTATAGTAGCTTCAGAATTGTTGATTCATACCACTGTGAGAAATAGGCCTAGTAACTAGAGTTCAATATTTGTGTAGTTTTTAATCTTAAGCCTGAGGGCATAGTCATAATCCTATGTTCACAAGTTACTTGGAGTAGTTCCTTCCCCAACTTCAGTGTGGTTATGCTTTAAAAAAAAATGAGCTTAATGTTTTTTACTCTTGTTTTGCCCAATGTGCCTCTCACATCTTTTAAAGTTTTATTTATTTTCAAGTATGTGAAACATTATAGTTGATGTATGTAAATTTAAGGCAAATGATCCAAAGAAACTGTTATTTTAATATATACTGTTGAATCCATCTTTTTTTGTTGTTGTTTTTTGTTTTTTTAGCCAAAACCTATTGATGTACAAGTCATTACACACCACATGCAGCGATATGCAGTTTGGTTTGGAGGATCAATGCTGGCTTCCACGGTAAATCAGAAGAAGCTTACTTTTATAATTTTATTTTTTTAGATAGAAGTATCCTTGAATACTTAAAAATTTTAGAAAAATGAGAAATTTTAAAAAATGTTTTAAAGTTTTAAAATTGGATATGAATGTACATAGTATTTTTAAAAAGTTTAAGTCATTTGGACTTAAAGTCCATATTTTTCTTTGCTTGCTGGACATTTTTTTAGAGTGAGCATTTAGAATTTTTAAGTGTATTTGTAGGGAAATTTTTTTGAATGCTGTGGTAATGAAGATATCAGAAGGTCATTCTTTTTTCTGTGCAAATATTTAAAAAGCATTGAGTTAAGAGTAATGTTTTACTGGATAGGATGTACGCTGGTCTAAATTAAGTAAAGGGAATTCTGAGAGCCCTCTTCCCAAACCAAAACATCTTAAAGCTTCTTAAAAAGGTACTTTAACATCATTAGCCTATTAAATATGAGTATTTTATCTCAGAGTGCAGAGTATTAAATAAAATTAAAGTGCCAAAACTGGTTTAGTTCAGTGGTAGAGCATCGGTTTGTGGACTGAAAGGTCCCGGGTTCGATTCTGGTCAAGGGCATGTACCTTGGCTGCAGGCACATCCCCAGTAGGGGGTGTGCAAGAGGCAGCTGGTCGATGTTTCTCTCTCATCAACGTTTCTGGCTCTCTATATCTCTTCTTTCCTCTCTGTAAAAAATCAATAAAATATATTTTTAAAAATAAATAAATAAATAAATAAAATTAAGGTGCTTTTATCTAAATTATTAAAAACTATACAACCTTGAATTTAAAACCATTTAACAATAAGAGGTAAAAGAATTTTCTTAATTTTAGTTGTCTTCACTTGTGCCATATAGCTAGTTGAATTTGTTGCTTTGCTCTTTCGGAAATGAGATAACAGAGTATTGAATACCAGACCTTGAGTGAGGAAAGCAAATTCACTACAAGTTTTTGTAGCATCACTAAGAGTGATTTGTTGGTACTTCAGATTAATGCTGCTTCTATAGATTATTTATTCAATATACAGTTTGGGAAAGTCTCAGTAGAATAGTCTTGGCATTTGACAATCAATTTTCCATTCCTTAAAATTTCAAAATATAAGACAAATAGTTGTTGAGGAGGTGGTTGATGGGCATAAGTTATATGCTACTTTTCAGTTCTGAGTTAGACGTATAGGTGATTTTAAGTCATGGTTGCTGGAATTTCTAAGCTTTGTTCAAGTACTGTGGATGGACTACTAATAAACATTTTAGACTTAACAAATCTATTTTAAAGCATATTGAAAAGTGATAGATTTTTTTATCTTTATGAAAATACTTATTTTTATTTTCAGCCTGAGTTCTACCAAGTATGCCACACCAAAAAGGATTATGAAGAAATTGGACCTAGCATTTGTCGCCACAATCCAGTGTTTGGAGTCATGTCGTAAAATTGGCTTCATAGTTATTGGGGTTAGGGAGGTGGGAAAGAAATCATCTTTCTGATTACATGTTTTGTCTGGATGGCTGGTTTTGAAGTTTTAAACCTGACTTGAAATAATAAGACCAAACATAATTATACAGGAATATTTTAATAAATATATCAACATGCGAATGTAGAGGAGCGCCAAAATGATTGTTTTTCTTTAGGTTGAATATTTGAATCTTATGTGTAACAAAAAGAAGTGGGTTTTAGTTCTTTCTGTGTCCTGATATTTTGTATATTATTGAATTATCCAAGATTTGATGGGATTTATCAGTATGTAGATAGCTCTATAATGCTTGAATTGTGCACTTCTAAGTGTGCAATGCAAGAGCTTGTTTATATTTCATACTTTTTATACTTTGAGGAAAAAAGTCAAAGAAAAACTAGTATTTGAGTACAAAAAAAGTGACCAAGTAAAGGATAAATTCAAAAAATAGCCTCATGAGACTTGATGTACACACGTGCTCGTGGGATTCCAGTTATTATGAATTGCTGTCATCCCCCTGTGCTGCCCCAATGGTTTTCTTTGCAAGTGCTTTTGGAACTAAGAAGCTAGTATCTTGGATTAACTGATGCCTGCTAGTGCTTTCTGATTATTCGCATTCTGTTTGTTGCTTTAAAGGAAAAGTAAAGACAAGACTGTTGGACCAGTATTGCAGTTCTGTAGTGTCATTTCTTATAAAAAAATGAATTACCAAAATTCATATATTTAAAGCCTAACACCATTCTAATAAAGGCACAGATTTCTTTTTAATACTTGTTTCAAGCTCTTTAATCTTTATGTTAACTAATCTATTTTCTTCAAATCTCTGCAATAGTTCTTTAAAATCAAACAGTTGGTTAGCAAGCTGACTTTTTTATGTGCTCTAAACAAATAATTGTGAACTTTTAATATGTTGAGTGCTTTCATTTTGATAACTGGATCTCCATTTGATATTTCATTTGTATAACTCATTTGCAGTCTGAAAATTTTTTTAGTGCCAGTCCCTGACATATCATGAAAAGTTAATTTTCTTTGCATTTAAAAATCTCTGGATCATGAAGAAAACGTGATGAAAATAAATTAAAACTGAACTACCTTTTCTAATGTTTTTTTTTTTTTTTAAGCATTATTCTATTTTGTGCTTTTGTATTTTATGTTATTTCTGTTTGTTGGGATAGTGAGATTCATTGAAATCTCTATAATGGTAGAAAATTTCTTGTGAACTTCAAATTTTATCCGGTTATTTATAGAAGACAAAGATGGGAGATTTTACAGGCTTTTAGAACTTACTCAGTAATACCAGTGAACACTTGAACTTCATTAGCCATGAAAATAACACATGATTAGTATATGTCTACCCAAAAGTTAAAGAGCAGAGTGTTCTTGTTGCTTATTTTTAGTATAAAGATAGGATCAGGGAGTAAACTTTATTTTTTATTTAGAATGAATCTGGATATTTAAAATTATATTATTAATTTATATGAATATTATTTCTTTGAGTGTGGAATAAAGAATAAACTATATGTCTTATAGTAGTAGTAGTGTCAGTATCAAATATCTTTTTTTATTTGAAAAATATATCATAAACATTTTTAAAAAATACTAAGTAGTGAAAGTAGGTTTCTTTCCCATTCTAGTCTGTGTCACTTTTTATTTATTAAAAAGTGGTTAATGTTGACATTATTGCAGGTTTCCCCCCTTTTACCCACCTTCCACCCCCCTTTGCTTATCTCTATCCACCTCCACTTCCCCCTCCCTTGGCCTTCACCAAACTGTTCTGTCTCGTTTTCTCATCACTACATTGTTAGAAATGTTGGTGTGTCCTTGTAACTTTCTGTGCATATTTAAATGAATATAGCTCCCTTATTTTACACAAATAGGAGCTTACTATATATATACTGTTGCTAATATCTTTTGATACAGACCTAAGCTGATAAACATTACAGATTTCATGCTCCTGGCTCAAAGTATCATTAGTGTTGCCATAAATGTCATTTGCACTTGCACCTGGGATGGTTGAATAGTAAATGAATAAGCTCAGAAGACACATTTACAAAGCTGCAGATTACAATCTCATACATATTGAAATATGTTCTTAACTGATAAGAAAATGTGAAGGTCAAATATTTTCTTTTATGCTTATTTGGGAAAAGGACTCTGATATGCCTTTTGCCTTGCAAGTGCTTATAGAGCTGAGCTATCAGTATGGTAGAAACAGTGCTCTTATTTCTTTACATCTCTCCTATCATGTATCATTTTTCCATTTTATAGCACCTTTGGTTGTATATGTGTAGAGGTTGGCCAAGCTGAATTTAGGTCTCACACTAATTTGATATCAAGCTGCATGAGCATGGTACATTAGAATTTTATTCTGAATCTACAAGTTGGGATACAACTTCAAATTTGATTTTAAGTTGGATAAATTTTGAACTTTCTGGACCTTAATTTATATATAAGGTATTGGTGATAGCTATATTAGCAATGCAACTTTTGTGATTTCTAAAATTATAACCTAGCTGTTTTATTTTTTATAGAGCTTTGATCAATGGGAAATATTATTGGACAGAAATAGATGTCAGTTATCTAACTTGATACCTACTTTTTAGTAAGCAAGTTTTCACAACTTATTTCTTAAACATTGGTAAATAGCATATACTGCAAGTAATCACCCTCTTCTGATCTAGCTTCCTTTCTCATGAGGTAATGCAGTTATCTACTCAGGTTGCCCATACAATTTTTTGGTTTGTTTTCCAGGCTACCTCAACAGATTTTTTATAAGTAATAACATGAATTACAAGGATAATACCTATTATGTTCTTTATTCTCTCCTTAGTTTCTATAGAGAAGTTCTAGAAAATATCTATACAGTAGGTCCTTGGGTTATGTTGGAGATCTGTTTCTATGGTACAATGTAAAATGATTTTTGCCGGAAGTCGGAATCCACCTACATAAGCACCTACGTCACTCACATGGAGCATATAAACAGCAGTACATAATGAAGTGAAACGCTAAAGAAAATTTAAAAGAAACAATTCCTGATCTTGTGGTAAATAAAAAATAAAAAATATAAAGCACATATGTTACATAAGTTGAAATGATGGAACTTTTTTTTATATATAAGTGGGAGATAGTGACGTAACCATGAAATGACATATGTAACCATAACACGTTGAGTCCGACGTAACCCGAGGACTGCCTGTGTATATAAAAGGTTAATAGGCTAAATGTCCCTTCCTCCATCCGACTGGTCACTGATGTGCACTGACCACCAGCAGGCAGACACTCAATGTACAAGGTGCTGAGCTACAGTGACTTGGCAGTGGCGGTTCTCGGGTGACGCACCCCAAAACAAGAGGAGGGGGCCTGATTCCTCGTGATTCCACCTTCAGCCATGGGTTAGTTGCTGCTGGGGCACTGTCAGCCCTTAATCTGGTATACTGTATGGTGTGTTTGCGTTCCTTCCACACCCTGTATGAAAGCAACTTTGCAGAGTGCCCTCTTGCACTCTGGGACCCCTCAACAGATGTTGGAGAGCCCGATTTGGCCTGATCCCTGCAGGCCAGGCTGAGGGATCCCACCTGCTGGAGGGACCCCACCCCTCTGCAGACACCGGGGAGGGACCTCGGGAGGTTGGCTTTAGGGTGTGTCCATGCCTTTTGCCCAGTCCCACCCCACCGGCCACCTTCTAATTTCCTTTCAATGTGCATAAATCCATGCACCAGGTCACTAGTACCTATATAAATAGAAACTTTCAGGTAGCCCTAAAGATGGTACCAGAATATTTGTAACAATGAGGAAATGAAGTACTATTGTAAGAGAGTTGTCATTCCTCTATTGGACTAATGTGTCAGTAATAAGGTCCAGTTTATTCTTCCTTTGTTAACAGCCCATCTTTGACTCCCATGTCACCCTGCTCCCTGATCTATTATGGTTCATTATTACTGGGCATGAGTACCTTAGCCTTTTAGTCTTCAACTGTTAGCACTTGATTCCCACTTAGGTTAATGGGCACTGTATACATATATTGGCTAAAATACAATCCAAAATGTATGCAGACTCTGGGAGTGAAACATTCTCCCACTTGTTGGAATCCTGCGCGAGAACATATTTCAGTGTAATAATAGTCTATATATTTGGCTAGGGATAGACTTGTTATCGAGAAGTTATGAGGAACTTTAATAGCAAATCGTAAAAGTAACTTTTTTTGTGGGTTGTTTTTTCTTTTGAGAGAAGAAAGTGGGAAGAGAGAGAAAAACTTCAATTGGTTGCCTTAATGTGCCCCCACCACCAGGGATTGAACCCTGCAACCTAGATACTAGTATGTGCCTTGACTGGGAATTGAACCCACAACCTTTTGGTATATGAACGGGATGATGCTCCAGGTGACTGAGCCACTGGGCTAGGGCAGTACTAATTAAGGACATAACTACATCTAAGTTTGACCTTACGCGAGAATGTTTAGATCTGGAGAGTCTGGGAAGTTTTTAGATATCTGAAAAAGGATTTCTGCTACTCATTATTGATAACTCGGCACTATAAATGTTCATCCCTCTTGCATAATTTGTTTTTCACTATACCAGATCTTTTGTTATAACCTTGGTCTTGATAGAATCTTAACAACAACAAAAAATTAAAGCCTGTGGTTGTCTTTGGTAATCTCCATGCATTTGGAACTCGGGAGCTGAAATTAAATAACACCTATCTGAATTTAGAGTTGCTTTAATATTGTTCCAGTGATCACAGGAACAGGGAAAAAGGGGACCAAAAATAGATAAGAATGATTTGGAAAAAATGACAACTGAAAAATAAATAGAAGAAAATTATTATTGTTATTTTGATTGAGCAAATGATTATTTACTATTTTCCAGTGTACCATCCTTTGTGGTCACTTTTATACATTTCATTGAAACTCAGATATTGAGCCAAAATAGTTTTACAATTGTGTATTGTATACTACCTATATATTAGTATCAAGTTTTGGG